CTCTCTTAAACAAGCAACTTGCTAAAGCCACACCCACATCAAAACGGGTATTGAATGAGCAGGAGGACTTGGATGCCGGCGCTGAGGATGAGCGAGAGGAAGGCGAAGACGGGGTATAGTATTCTGATCATACCATAGCATAATTATGTTATGACCACTTGGACACGTGATTCGGGTGATACTGCGTCTTCAAGACTCTAATCTAGAGAAACCCAATTCGACTACGCGTATGGCATGAGGTAAGTAGGCATAATGCGCAACAGTAAAAAGTTTGTTATAATAATCGGTATAGCCAGCCTTTAATAGAAGACGAATTAGCAATTGACAAAATAATTTGCAGTATGAAATATTCTGTAGTGTGTGTTATCGTAACATTGTCTAAACGAAGCCTTAGATGTTTATCACAGTCGAGAGAGAGATGTGACGGGAAATGTCTTAGCCCCAAACTATCGAGTAGTTTTCAATATCCACTCTACCCGTAGTTGGTGCAATCTTGTTGAGTCTGAGAATTAAATGGGTAACGTTTGGAACGCCTGGTTGTTTTTTAGCCCTTTAGAGAAGAACGATGAATTAAATTATGTTAAAGAAGCCAGAACACAGATAATAATGAGTAGCTCCTACAGTACCATGGTAAATTTACTTCGATATTAGCACCCCAACCCCCAATGGCATGTCCGTCCCGGAAGATAAATAAAACGTTCATGTTCTCATAATTGGTTGCCCCGTGTTCAATCAGGTTCGCAATTATAGCAGCTCGATCTTGGTTTGGGACCCCATTACGACAATTTGCAATGGCTGTGTCGTTAAAGCCTTGCATGTTCCAATCGAACAGAAGGGCAGGCATTTCATTAACTTCACCGATTTCACGGAGGACAAGTTTGACAATTTCTGGATTATTTCTAAAGATGGTGGGGAGATTTTCTTGAGCTACAAAATTATAAGAGGCATAACATTAGCATCTCTCTTTCCTTTTAAACGACTTTCTCTCTCTTTCTATATTCACCTTACCAGTTACCTACCCACACCACTCTTTTTTGCGAGCTTCTTAAGGTTGTGGTTTTGCACTGTGCCCAATATATACAATATATATGTGAAAGCTGTTAAAATTAAAACGTGTTGAGAGGGTATAAAGAAGATACCTTTACGATGAACAAAGTTGAAAAGGCTCGACATGCTGTTAATCAAATTGTCAATCAATCTCCCGAGTGAAAAGGGCATATCCTGTGATTTCATTCTATTTGTTGATATATTAGTATTAGCGATGGCGGACTTGCAATCCACGCGAGACCGCAGAATTATTATTATCAAAATATGTCACATGATAAAGGAGCAAAGCAATTGATTGGATAGTAAAAAATAACTAGTTTATTAACAGTAACAATGGATCAGCTACTAGGAGGGTGATCGTGCTAATTGTTTCTATTTTGTAACTTGTATAATCTCTCTACTTTATTTGGCCAACAAGACATTTATTATTAACATGATTCCTGCGGACTATTGTCTTTGAGAACCAAATCTTTCACGAGTTATAGTATGTTATTGTGTAACATTCAACAATCTTTCTATACAGTCAACAGTCACCAGTTTTGCATGGCGACGGTAACAATTATTATCCAGTATAAGTCGTTATCAAATCGCTAACATCAACAACCAATGGCTTAAACTCTTCGATAAGAAAGAATGTTGTGTCGTCAAATTATCATCTGCTTCGCAGAGCGCTCTGCGCCTCCTTTTTTATTAATATGCATAGGTGCGTTATAATGCACGTGAGTGGTACCACAGAAAATGTATCTTACCATAAATAGCCATTCTCGCTATATTTTTTACCCATTCTAGACATACGATCGAGGGATATCCTCATCCTCCCATTCACGTAGATATATCTCTTCACTTATCAACCGCTCACGTCTGGATCGAGGTTCTGATCTCGTGCAAAGTCTATTACAGTGAACCCTCTCTAATATCAACCCCCACGGGACCGGCCAATTTCGTTGATATATGCGGGGTTGGATATTTGTTAGGGTTTTAATATTATATACGATACTTATGTCTCGAATAAAGTCTTAAACTTTATTTATACTTATAATAAAAATCTCTTTATTCTTTCTCCATATAAACTAAACCAATTTGTTTACCTCATATGAATTGTGGTTCTCTCTCTCTTTGATGAAAAAATCTGTTAACTTTTTTTGTTGCCTCGCCTCGTATATACCGTATTCGATTGAATGCGTCGCAACCGACTTTGCAATCTTGGCATGTCTTGCTCTTACGAATTTGGCGGGGTCTTGCTGCTCTACATACTGCAGAAGTAATCTGCAATGCCGTAGAGTGAGAAATTTTTCGATTTCAATGTCGCTGCCTTCATTACAACTATCAGTGTGGAGTATGTTTATACTTTAGTACACAATAGGACGCAGATCGTATTATAAAGAGACATTTGATATTGTAGATCA